TCTATAACTTATTTTAACATTTAAATGTTATGAAAAATATATTTTATTTTATTATTTTAATATTTTTCATACTTTTCAATTCACTATTTTTTTAAATTACTTAGATTTTATAATTTTTAAAATATATTAATTTTGTGAAATTTTAAAAAAGTTATATTATAATCCGTCAAAAGACTCAAAACTAATAAAATGGAATGTAAAAATAGCATTAAAATTAATATTAAAAATTAATTATAATTTAAATTATAATATTTAAAATAGTATAATGTTGAAAGTAAAATAATAAATTGAAATGTAAGAACAATATTTAAAGTAATAAAAATTACTGTTTATAATATATTGAAAACTAAAAATAAAAAAATAAGTAATTGCCTTGTTTATATAAAATAACAAATATATTATTTTATTAAATTATACACATAAAAATAATTGAATTATCTTAATTTAAAATATTTTCCTTTACTGCCAACGTTGGTTTCTATTCGGTACTCTATGTGGAGCTTTGGGTTACATGTCTAGCCAACTCCTCTTGGCTCCTTCAATATGACACCCCTTGCCTTCCTAGGCATGATTCCATCACTCATTCTCTTTAATCTTTCCCTCCATTTCTTTCTTTACTCTCTGACGCTTTCATTTTCTAAAGTCTCCAATAAGGTAAATTTCGTTGTCATTTTCGTTTTCATTTTCATCTTCTCACGTTCTTCTTGTGTCTCTTTTCATTTTTCTCATGCTCTTCTCGTCTCTATTTTCGTTGGAGGTTCAGTTTGGGAAAATTTTGAACCTGGAACGGCCAGCCATAATAATACTCAGCATTCAGCAGGTAGCCTGGAAAGGTCAGCCATAACAATACTCCCTCTTCAACAAGCTACAAATAAAAGAACACACTACCATGTGGCAAACAGAACAACAAGAAGCATCCACATCAAGCCTGAAGTCTAGACGTTTTAGTTTACCATCCTTGAACATTCAACGGGGCATACCACCCAACACTCAGTTGCCTCAAAGGGCAAGGATACTAGTAAACAGCATCTACCCGAAGGAAACGATGTGGAGGAATCTAATGTCAAAACAGGAGAGAAGACCCGAATCTTCACCTCACTATCACAAGAGGAGCTATTAGAGCAAATGGCATGGAGCATCTACTCGAAGACTAAAGATCAGGTGTACAGTTTGTCAGCCTTGTTACCCACTAGAGTACGCAACCAACACTCAATTGCTCTAAAGGGCAAGGATACAAGCAAATACAACTATCCAAGGGAAACAACATAGAAGCGCCAGCACCTAAGAGACGAAGAGAAGACCCGGACCAAATGTCTACGTCTTTACTGGCCTTTGGAAAAGAAACACATTACTATTCCAAAGAATAAGTAAAGAGGGGCAGCTGTAGACACCCAATTTCATCCAGACCAACAAAAGCAATAAAATGGACGTCTATTATCAAGGAAAGGAGCTCCCAAAGCATGGAAACAACAGGACATGACATCAGAAGGCCTAAAGCCCAACAAAAGGTGATTTAGTAGCCTAGAATGGGTTGTTCCAAAAATAGAACGACCCGTTCCCAAACTGGAACAGGTCGTTCCAAACCACAAAAAAAGCCTAAAACCCTAGTTTGAAATGGGCCATTCCAATGTGGTAGTTATGTGTTAAGACTCAATTTTAGAACGGGCCGTTCTGATTTCAAAACGGGTCATTCCAAGATGTGAAATTAACACATAACGTACAAATCCAGAATGTCCCGTTTCGAATCCAGAACGAGTCGTTCTGGCAATTTCTGATGTCTATAAATAGAAGACTCGGGTACAATTCTCAAGGCCAGAAAATTTCGTCCAAGACTCCTTAGAGCTCAAAATTTCTCTTTCTCTCTCCTCTGTATTTCTTGAGATTTTGTGAGGTACATTGTAGTGTGTTAGGTCGCCAAAAAGCGCCTAAAGGTCTTCATATTTGAATATCTAATAAAGCTCAGATAAGAGGTATTTTAGTCAATACTCATCTCTCCTTCTATTTCTTATTTTTTTTTAAATATTGTTGTAATAAAAAGTAGCCATGTAGACATTTTAGGGTCAATCGCTTAATTTAAATCTAAGCATGTAAATAACAATTTATAAAGGGGACTAAATATTTAGATTATTAATTCTTATTGTGTTATCTTCATCATAAGGTACCGATTTAAGGCATTGTAGGGGTACTTAATACCTTCCTTACACGTAATTGACCCCCAAATCCAATTTTGGTTATGAAGGCCATTAATTATGGGATTTTCGATCAGCTTTTATTTTTCCAATGTTTTGAGTAAAACCTTGGTGGTGACTCCATGAACCTTTTTTAACCCTACACGTAATCGACCCCCGAACCCAATTCTGGTTATCAAGGCCATTATTGGACTTTTAAAAAACCTTTTCTTTTTCCAATATTTTGATTAAAACATTGGTGGTGACTCAATGAACCTATTTTCAAAATCATTAATTAAGGATTAGTCTGGTGTTTGGGCATTCCTTAATTGATGAGATTTTCAAAAGGATGTCTAAATCATAGGTCGCAAGATCAGAAATTTTTGGGTTGCGACACATTGGAGGTTGATTACTAAAAATTTGAAGGTCTTAAGTTGAAATGAAGATGTTGGAGTTTTGACCCATTGAAAACCCATAGTTGATATGTTGGATTTAGGGTTTAAGGTTTAGGATAAAAAGTGAGTTAATATGCTGGAATTGGATCCAAGGGCCAACAATGAGGCACAAATGGAAACTTCTGTTGTAATGAAAAAATTTTAGCCTGAGAGAGGTGAGGAACAATGCACTGACATTAGAACTCAACTAGAGTTGGAAGATAAAAAACAATTGCTTGCTACCTTGAGGGATAACCCCAACTTGTTTGCATAGTCTTTAACACCCCAAATTTTCTAAAATTAATTAAAGGATGTATGAATTAATTAAATGAGTTTTAAAAAATAATTTAGAGGCTTTAATTATAATTTTTTTAATTAAATAAAGGAATAGTTTTGAAATTATTTTGTTATAATAAGTATTTGTAGAAAAATAGGTGTTTTTTATTATAATTTTTTTTATGTATTTTTTTATAATTATGTTGGGAGAAATATATTTATTTTATATATTATTTATGAGTTTAATTAATGAATGGAAAAAAGTATAATTTTAATTTATTTGATTAAATAATGGGCTAAAAGCGGGTTAGAGAGTTTTTATAAAGGGTTAGCGACAATTTTTCTTTTTAAGCTTTGCCATTTTTCTTATGCTTCTTCTTTGTGCTCTTAAGAACTACTTGGAGATCAGGAAGGTGATTACCCAGAAGATTTACTTTCATCTACGAATGCTCATTGAGGTAAAGTGGAGTGAGTAGTCTAACTCTAGGGTATGGGTTATATGTTGGGTAGTGAGATTGACCCCAATCTTTTCACTATTCATGTGTAACACCCCATTTTTTATAAAATATAATATAGGTATTTTATTAATAATTTTGATATTTTTATTTTTATTAATGAGAGCTGATTAATATTTATTTTATTATTATTTACTATATTTTGTGATAATTAAATATGTTGAGTTTAGTAACTAGTGGTAATTATTTTCATATGAATATATTTTGAGGTTTTATAATTAAAGGTTATATTATTTAATTATTTATTAAATAAGGGAAGGAATATTTTTTTGAGATAACCATGGTTCACATTTTTTACTAAAGGGTTAACGAGAGGTTAAGTTTAAAAGAGAGAGATAGCTAATCAGATTTTAAATTTTTACTTTTCACGTACGTGTTTACACTTTAGAGCTTAAAGAACTTGAAGGAGGAGGAAACTATCCCGGAGTTGATTGTTCATCTTTTTTTGCTCAACAAGATAAGAGAGAGTATTGGATAGTGGGATTGGTCTCAATCTCATCTCTATTGTATGTCTATGTATGGGAAGTTTTTCCAAATGTGTCTTTTTCTTCTCTACAATATTAATTGATTCAATGAATATTTATAATTCTTAAATATTTTTATTAAATAAAATATAAAAATATGATTGTTTCAATCTCACTGAAAGATAAAATCAGAGATAATATAAAATTATAATAAAATAGTAAAAAGTTTGTATATATCAAAAGAAAATATCTTTTTTATTATCAGTATAAAAGTATAGATATAATTTCAGTTTTTTGTTTCCTTATTTTTTCTTAATACACCAAAACAAAACTTTTAATGTTATAATTTTATAAGAGTTTTAATAAATTAGTAGATTTTTGAACTTTTTACGAGTTTTTTTTAAGGCAGAGTTTATAATTGAGTTATTGAGTTTCTACAACTTTTGTAATTAAAATCTAGACTAGTAAAATTACGACAAATCGTTACTTTTATACTGGTTGTAAGTACCACAATTAATTTTAGAGATTCAAATGAAAAATTATAAAATTCAATTACTGAATTACAAATTTTAAAATAAAAAATAACAAAAAAATCTTAAAAAGTTCATGCACTTAAAGATATATCAAACCTTCTATAAAGAATGTTTAATATGTTGTAAAATAAAATAAAAAATATTATTAGTAACACTCGTCATAAAAAAATGAAAAAATAAAATAATAATAAATTTTAAAAAATTTGCAATTAACTTTATAATAGTGAAATAATTAAGAAAATATGTTTAAAGGTATAAAGGTAATATTTTTAAGGGGTAAAAAATTAAAAAAGAAATACAAAAACTAAAAAGAAGCTATCTTTATTCAAGTTATAGATTTATATAAACATGAAAGGAAATTAAATCTAAATTCTAAACTAGAACATGGTGGTGGTATTTTTTCTAAGACGTTGAACACGCTGGTGGATTATTATCAAAATTTAAATTGACTATGTCATATGCCTCATAGGGTTCTCCATGGTAGTAGCCTAGTAGATCTCACAGACCAGTAATCACCTTCCACGTGTCCCCAAATCACACTCATGCGGCACCATTGTAGCAGAACCAATCGAAGTTTCCGCCCCAATGCCACAATCGCGTTTGGACATTACGAATACAAACCCGCAGCATGTCCCACCTTGGTCGCATAAACAAAACAAGTGATTTGTGAAGCTTCCAAACACCCCCTTAGTTTCAAAACAAAAGAAGCACACTACTCCGTCGGTGCAATATAATCATTAAGGCTTAATCCCAATTTGCATTCTCAATCTTCATTCTTCAACCAGGTAAACATTTTCAGTTTCTCTTTGAGCATTTTTTTCGCGAGGGAAAGGAAAATTCTGGAACTATACTTTCAATTCATTTTTTTCGCGGGAGCCTTGTTCTTCGATCGAATCAACTCGTTTGAGTAATATTGACTCGATAATTGCTTCTGTGAATGTGAAAAACCCTAGAAGATTATTTTAATTTGAATTTGATTGTATATTCTGGTGAATGTAGGAAGTACCTTGATATGTAAATAATTGAGTGCATGTGTGTTGTTGTTGTTGTGTTCAGTGTGGTGGTGAATTTCGATAATTATGGAGAATCCAGATTCTGTACAGAAGCTGCACACGCAAATGCGGCTTTGGGAATTTCCGAGTCAGTATGTGATTGAACCAATCGATGGATCTTCCTGTTCTGCTTTGGCAGTTAGTCGAAAAGATGGCTCCACGATGCTCATTGGTTCGTTGTTAATTCGTTTCCATTGATTTTTTGCTTCCGCTTTTATTTGTGCTTTGCTTTTAGTGTCTCTTCGGTGTAACTGAATCCTTGCTTTTCGCGTTTTTGTTTTGTTTTCGATAGATGAGATTCCTGAATGCAGAACCCTTCGAGTTCCCAAGATTTATACGATTTATGGTGTGGCTGGGATTTTAAGGCTTTTGTCTGGTAAGTGAATGTGTTAGCCACAGCAGAGTTAAGGTGAATTATACATTTTTTCTTTCTTCTTTTCTAGTATTGTTTTAAATGAAAAAGTAGAGAAGATAAGGATTAAGAAAGATACACAAACATTTGGATTCATTGTGATCCTTGGTTCATTTGCCTATACTCTGCAGTTAGTGCATGAAGTCTCTGGTTTTTCCATTCGCATGTACTTTTGATTTGAGCTTCTTTCTTGCATGGATGTTTTCCTTTTCAAAAGTAGACATCAATTTGACCATTCACTTTCGTGTACAACTTTCATATACTATACCTTTAGGATCGTATTTGGTGGTTATAACTGGGCGCGAATGTGTTGGATCCTACTTGGGGCATCCAATTTATAAAGTTTCATCTTTGAAGGTTTTTCCATGTGATTGTTCTCTAAATAATACCTCTACTGAACAGGTAAGCTACTAGAGCTCCACTTATTTATTTTATTTTATGTTCATAAGCAATTTGAAACTCAGTTGTTGTACAATATGTGGTAGAAGAAGACAGAGATGGAATTTTCAGGGATATTAAATGTTGCTGAGAAGACTACCGGTCTGTTCTTCTCATACGACGCTAATTTAACTCTCAGGTGAACTTTTCTGGATAATTTTAGCAAGCATACAATAGTAATTGTGACTGGAACAATATATAATATTTTTTATTCACATATATAAATACCCATAGGGAAGAAATATTTCGATTACTTACCAAGCGGGTCTCCAACCATGTAACCTTTAATGTTCAAACATTAAAAAACACACTTTTTTACATTTGTTAACATCACATTTAGGATAATCACATCAGGTTTTGGTTTTTAATGGATAAAGTGTGTATTATTAATTCATGCAGACTTGAGAAATTATCTTTCGTATGCGGCATTCACGCCGAGGTAGAATTTTTCAGCAGAGTTATCACAAGTCTTAGTTAAATCCCGTTCGTATTCGTACATACACATTTTCTTTCATCATACTTTCACTCTATTTTTCCTCTGTTTTTATTTATTTTTCCCCCATCATCCATCACATCATTACTTTCTATTTTTTCTTTTTCTTTTTATCTCTAGCTTATTTCAACCCAAAATAGGATCAATAAATATCATTACTCCAAGTCTTTAAGCATGTCAGTATAAGTGCAATATTAGATCTTGTCTATTTCAAGAAGGAATTGTCTGCAAGGGAATTGAGTATGACCTTGACCACTGAGTATGGCTACCAAGTCCTAAATTCCTGACTAACGAGAGGGAATTGAATAAGGACTACCAAGACCAACATTCCCGACCAAATTAAGGAGAAGGAATGGGAAAACGCCTTGACCAGTTATGGAGTGTTTGGAGAAGTGATTTAGTGGGTAAAGGAGAAAAAAAAGAGGGATTATCACA